TTTATTTCTGTTTAAGGTTGAGTTGGCATTATGGGATACGGCAGGACAGGAAGACTACGACAGGCTCCGCCCACTCTCCTACCCCGACACTGACGTCATACTAATGTGCTTCTCTATAGACAGCCCCGACAGTTTAGAAAACATCCCAGAAAAATGGACACCGGAAGTCAAACACTTCTGTCCCAGTGTTCCCATAATCCTTGTAGGCAACAAGAAAGATCTAAGAAACGACGAGAGTACGAAGCGAGAGTTGATGAAGATGAAACAGGAACCCGTGCGACCGGAAGACGGCCGCGCCATGGCAGAAAAGATCAATGCTTATGGATATTTAGAATGCTCCGCTAAAACAAAAGAGGGCGTCCGTGAAGTGTTCGAAAACGCCACCAGGGCGGCGCTGCAAACCAAGAAAAAGAAGAAGGGGATATGTGTTACTCTATAACTCTACTGCGCATGTAAGGGTGGGTCCATCTCTTGTTTCTTAAAACATTTTTTACTGAAGGAATGGATAAGTGGTACCTCGGCTCCCGGAAGTATAGCGGAGATAGTGTAAACAGGTCGCCATTCCTGAATCTGAACAAAGTTATCATAACTAAACGTGTACTCATTTAATTAGTGTTAATCATTTGTAAAGATGCTGTGTAACAAGCCTTGACATTCTGACTGTGTGACGTGTACATTTGTGTCATGACGTAATGTGTCCATGGATACCGCTCCGCGCGTGCAATTTTTTTTCTACTATAATTTTTTACGACAACTGGCGGACGGAGTGAAATGAACCTTTCTAAAGATTTCTTATAGTCATGTAATTCTACTGTTATTTAAGAGGGAGAATGATAGCAGTTTTTTTTTTATTCATGTATTCTTATTTAAATTGTAATATCTCATCATGTAACTTTTGCGTAGCTTGTCTAATAAATGGAACCAAAGACATGGGTGTTGTTTAGTTGTCTCGTAACTCAAGACAATTAGTGTATAAGTGTTGTTAACATTATCTAATTGTATTTAATGGAAACATAACGAACAGCAATCAACCTCATAATCTAGCCCACAAAACGAATCGTGCACAGGGAGAAATCATGGACCCTTGGAACAACAACAGAGGTGGGATCAGATGTCTTGGAGGAGTGAGTATCCCCTGTCCACCGGTCACGTGTCTGACGTATACAGACATACCTGGTACTACCTGTTGCAGCCATTGGCATCTACTAGCATGTGTAAAGTATTTCAGCCGTCAAGGTTGCCTGAGTGACAGTGGTCAGAAGAGTCAAGCAGGATCATCGAGTTGAGTATGACGTCACATGGAGACTATAAGCCGAGGTCCCGTATTGGATTGAGGAGATTCTTTCACTGTTCATGCTGCTCTCACGTCTCAAAATGAGGGAAAAATTCTCGACTGGACGTTAAACAAAAAAGAAAAAATAAACAAAACAAACAAAGCCACCAGGATTGAAACTGTAGAAAATAACATCTAAAGCAAGCTTTTGAATTAATCTCCATGATGTATACACAAGTACAAAAAATGAAATCCGTTTAAATTCCTTTATGGTTCAATGTGAAACTTCAATCATGGTACCCTAATCATACCCCGACCATGGACTTTGGATTGAATAAATTAAATTCATGAAATATTATTGTAGATTATACACGCATTAGTATATTTAATATATAACCATTTATTTGCAATTCCACAGAGCCAAAATGAATTTGAACTACTAGTACCTTATATACATGTATATTGGATTTCGAAACTTCATAAAAATCCGTACAAACAAAGAAACATTGCGGGTTCCAGTAAATGTTCAACCAAACCTCTTTCGTTACTCCTTACTAAGATATTAATTGACAGTAGTGAAAGAACACTTCAAGAGTACTGTGCAACAATATTTTCAAGAAGTGATGTGAATCAGATGTGGATACTCAAAAATTCCAAAGAACTTTTGGATAATTTGAAATCACAAGATTTTACCAAAATCAACAGCTTGAAAACTTACTACTTTTCAACTTTATACACAACCATTCCCCACGATAAATATATATTATTAAAACAGTAACTTGATCCAAAGAGTCGTGTCACGTCGACGTGACACGACTCTTCGGATCAAGTTATTGTTATAATGATAGATTTATTATATACCCCCTTATAACTAGCTAAATATAGCAAAATAAAAATTTAGAGATCAATTGTATTATATTCATCGATAAAACAAATCAAAATAGCAATGGGCTTTTTCACGCGCAAGAAATATAACGTCATGTTTTTGCGTACCACGTCATCAGTTTCAGAAAGAGGTGATATGGATTCAGTAAACCACAGTGTGGTGATTCGGATCACGACGTCACGTGATTGCGTAAAATCTACAGTAAAATTTATTGATACACATGTATATAATGATTTAAAGTCCAGGCTTTTTTTATATCATTGACAGCTGTTTTTTTTCAATAAAAATGGAACTCGTAAATTTACTTACCTGGTCATATGTAAAATTATTTTGTTCAAACACAGTCTGATTGCACCCACAAGTACTCTGAAGTTGACACCAAAGAGATGCTTAAGTTTCTGATTGACAATATCTATGGGGTTTTTGGAGACCAGGTCTTCCAACAATCTATTGGAAATTCCCATGGGTACCAATTGCGCTCCGTTATTAGCAGACCTATTCTTATATTCATATGAAGCAGAATTTGTGCAAAATCTTATGCATGAAAAGAAGAAAACACTTGCTGTGGTCTTCAACTCGACATTTAGATATATCGACGACGTATTGTCAATTAACAATGGTAATTTACATTCCTACGTCGATACAATATATACTGGTGAGCTTGAGATAAAAGATACCATAGAGCCTGACACAACTGTTTCATACTTGGATATTTTACTTGAAAAAGACGTAAATGGTAATCTAACAACCAAGCTATATGATAAACGTGATGACTTTAACTTTTCTATCGTCAACTTCCCTAGCTTACTTATGCAGCAATATACCTTCATCACCTGCATGCGGAGTATATATATCTCAGTTGATTCGATACGCAAAAGCATGCTCTACATATGAACAATTTCTAAAACGAGGTAAATTATTGACAAGCAAATTGATGAAACAAGAATATCAGCAGTCTCTATGGTCGATATAATGACCTTGTCAGCAAATACAATTTATCATTGAGTCACATGCTGACTGACGTTTTTCATACTCATTGTTAGTCCATACACTGAATTGACGACGGATTTTTAATTTTCGTCATGACAAGGAGCACACGGCGGGTGTGACCGGTCACCAGGGGATGCTCAATCCTCTATGGCACCTGATCCCACCTCTGATGTTTCGGAGGTCCGTGTTGCTCTGCTCCTATTTTGTATTGTTTTATGGACTTTGATACTGAATACCGTTCTTTTAAGTTTTCTACATGAGTTGTGAAGAATTTTTTTTTTATGAATGACCTTGTAAATTATACAATCAATTCGTGGTCTCAACAACAAGTTTAGTCGCCCGTATGGTGCAGTGGTTAGAGCGTCTGTTGTAGAGTCGCGAGGTAAGGAGTTGATCCTTACGTCGCGGGTTCGAATTCCACTGTGGGACGTGGAGACCGCTCCATAGGATGAGACCATATGATATAGACAGCGCTTCCGCGTGTCGCAGTAGGTGATCCCTCCCTGCTCAATGGCCCTAAGTGCCGAGCATAGGACAAAATTTGAAGCTCTTCACCAGTGGTGGCGTCTCATTATGAGTGAAAAATTCTCGAAAGGGACATTAAACAATACACAATCAATCAACTACTAGTATGCCGCAAGAGCTTTTGCAATTACGCATTAATTTTAAATACAGATGAAAAACTTATCCCATTCGGTTGAAATATTTGAATGGTCCATATGAAATAATAAGATTCGTACTAAGAAGTCAAAACAAATCAAATTTTGAAACCATTAGAGATGGGAACATTTTTCCTAAGCAAATTGAATTAAGGAAACTTACGTATAATATTTTGTAATTTCCTTTACTTTAACCATTCTATATTATCTTAAGGTAGTGTGCCTCCTTGTTTCATATCCCATACCACCTTAAGGAGTCTGATCCTTTATTTAAAGAACATTTTATCCTTTACTTTGTTGAATGAAAATTTTAGTTGGTGCCAGTCCATCAGTTCTCACGTCAAACAAAGGTAATACAAGAGGCCTATAGGTCACATGCTCACCTGAGTAATTGGACCTGTTGTATTTCACCAGATTTTTCTCAATGTAATTCTTATCGTGTTTTCGCCCTACTCCGGGGATCATGATTTGAATAATTTAGAATCTGTACTAATCCAGGACACTTCCACATATGTTTCAGCTTTATATGCATTTATTTCTTTGTAAAAAAATGATTCTGTATTTTGGTACTGCCCTATCCCAGAGGTCATGATTTTAACGATTGTGAATTTTCACCTCAGGACGCTTTCACATAAGTTTCAGCTTTTCTGGCCTAATGGTTCTTGAGAAGATTTTTATGCCCCAACGTAAAAATGGACGGGGCATACAGAGGTTGTCATGTCGACGTCCGTCTTCCGTCCTACTGTCCTTTCACCCCGCTTTGTGTTCAGCTCAGTTTCAAAGATATTTTTATCAAACTTTTTTGACCTTGACCTTTTCTTAGACCTTAACCTCACTTTTCTCAAATAAGTGTTTAGCTCCATTTTAAATATACCATTAAGATGATGCAATCAATTTCAAAAGTCAGTTTTCATAAATAAGGTTTCCATTGCAAAGAATCTATTCAAGATACCCCGGCCGGTATTCTATCAAACATTATATACTTACACATATTGATAAGACTTTCAACAACATCAAAATTATTGGACACCAACTTTTCCTATTAGATGGACTTGACTTTTTTTAAATTAAGGTTTAGCTCACTAAAAAAAAATTCAAGATAGTGATTTTTTTCTCTTTGAGCAACCAATTTTAAACATGGATGCAAGAAATATGTGGGGGGATATATTTACAATCTTAAAACAAGAAATCTGTGAGTCAATACTCACTAGTAATATCCCCGCTCCGCTCTAATGTAAATTAAAACACTATCATTTTAATACAAACAAGTTCAATTACAGGTAGATGAACAGAAAAATATGGAGTTGACATCAGATTCATATCAAAATTAATCCCACCATATGGCATGCCTCAAGAAAGAGTGTACTAAAATTTAAAGCATCTGCTATGAATAGTTAATGAGAAAACTGTGACGAAAATTTGTTATGTATGAAACGGACAGACGCACAGACAAACAGGAAGTTGACATCGGATTTGAACAAAAATGTATTCCACCATATGGCATGCCTCAGGGAAGATTGTGTAAAAATTCCAAGCATCTGCGATCAGTAGTTGCAGAGAAAACTGTGACAAAACTTGTTTTTCATAAAACGGACAGACAAACAGGAAGTTGACATCGGATTTGACCAAAAATGTATCCACCCGTATGGTATGCCTTAGAGAAGATTGTGTTAAAATTTCAAGCTTCTACGATGAGTAGTTGCTGAGAAAACTGTGATGAAAATTTGTTATGTATGAAACAGACAGACACACAGACAAACAGGAAGTTGACATTGAATTTGAAGAAAGATGTATCCCACCACATGGCATGCCTCAGAGAAGATTGTGTTAAAATTTCAAGCTTCTACAATGAGTAGTTGCTGAGAAAACTGTGACGAAAATTTATGTATGAAACAGACAGATGCACAGACAAACAGGAAGTTGACATCAGATTTGACCAAAAATGTATCCCACTGTATGGCATGCCTCAGAGAAGATTGTGTTAAAATTTCAAGCTTCTACAATGAGTAGTTGCTGAGAAAACTGCGACGAAAATTTGTTACATACAGACACACGGACACACAGATGGACAGACAGACAGACAAGGGTAAAACAGTGTACCCCCCTCTCCTTCTGAGCGGGGGTATAATCATAAAATCAATAAGAAAAATACACGTATAAGCAGCATTTTTAGTGAGGGATTAATTTTGGAATTATTAGCGAGGGTGCCGAGATCACTAAAATTAATCGTGCTATATTTGTACAGTAGTAGAATCTTTAGTGAATATTTTAAAATCGCTAAATTAACATCTCGCTAAAAATAAAATACCAGTTTTTCAGGACAAATCGCTAAATTTGCGTCTTGCTAAAATTTCCACTTATACGGTAGTGTTATCTTTACCTCAGTAACCCAGTATAACAAATTGAATTTGGTTGAATAATGAAGGGATCTGGGAATGTTCACCTACAACATGGGGGGTAATGGGGAATAACTCTTGCTTAAATCACCTTAACGGAAAACACTCTATAGCTCAGTTGAACTTTCAGCTCAGGTGAGCTAAATACTGTAAATCACTTTTTATTCAAGAAATTTGATGAGAACTTTTTTTTTTTACTTTTTTTCGCATAATTACGTACAAAACCTCAAAAACTGATGAGGGAGGTGATTTGTTGTTTTTATTTTATTGACAATAAAAAGGGTCAATGAGGCACCCGAACCAAGAAATTAATTTTTTATGGCCTAAATCAAAATTTCAGAATGCCCGCGAAAATTTCATTCTCGCGTATTATAGAATTCCTTAAGATTATATAGAGCGATGTCGCCAAAATTAAGTGATCTACAGTATTATTGGTCCAGGTAGGGCTCCAAAATACTTGGGAATGATAATTAAATTTGCTCCAAAATCATTAACTTGCATTGGTCATACAGAAAATATTTGCTGAAAATGCAACATCTAAAACTGAATAGTACAATGAACTCTGCAGCTGCACAATCTATGCAACCAGGATTAAGATAGTTTCAACATGGCCAATGACCAATAACGCCTACAAATACATTGATCATTTGTGTAGACCAAAAGGTCAAAAGAGAGGTCAAAAGTGAGCATATATCTCCCTAAGCAGATGCTATAAATTATATCTTGCATCAAATATGTCGCAACTTAAATTTATGTTCAATACAGCAAAAGGTTACAATTTATTAAAAATTATAACAATACAAAATAGCAATATTAAATTCAAAGATGAGAATCATTTTAATTTTCAGGATGCTTAGAATAATAAGTTTTACAAACAGTAAACAGAATACCACACCTTGCTTAAATTTTGCAAACATATATAATTAATGGTTATTTGAAACTGTTTTACAAATTTACTGAGTATAAACATACAAAGCCTACCATTTGACCACTAAGGTTGTATGTACACCTACCAAGTTAATTTTAACATGACAGACATTTTTTCTGACAAAAAAAAAGCAAAAACACCAGATTTAAACTATACAACTTTTATTCATCCATCTTACATTCTACATTTAACCTTTCACTCAAAGTACAGTATTACATAGTATTATAATTTAATCTTGACGTAATTTTTTTGTTTGCATCATTCCAACAATTTAGATGATTCTTCTTTCATGCATCTATTTGTCTGCATTTAAAAAGTCTATAGACAATTCTTTAAAAAGTTGTGTAGAAGATTCCTTTACTATGACTGAGACTTTTCACTGAATCCTACCAGTTCAGTAGTTTTGCTGCTGTGATTCCTTGAGAGAGTTGTTTCCATGCTGATTAAGGTCACTAATGAATAATCTCTTCTTATAAGATCCACTGGTATCTTTATATCAGCAAAATAAACACAACACAACAATAGTCTGGAAAATGCCTGCTTTCTGATACTATGACAATGACCTCTGACCATCTGATATTTGTCCTTGACCTTTGTTCACATCACTTATACACACCCAGTTTCCATTTAATGTCTCTTTCCATAAGCTGACCTGTAAAACAGAGGAAAAAATGAATTATGATCTACATGTATAACAACTAGTGCTATATTTGAGGTCAATAGTATACATTTATTGACTCAATTTGAGGGCAATATAAGTTTTGTCGGACCCAAGAAAACTGTCTGCCTCGTTAGATCTCAGGCAGACAGTTTAGTTCGAGGGCCGACAAAACGCATTTTGCCCAAGATCACAGTCAATAAATGTTTTGTTATACCTTTTATTTCATTTTTTTGGACAATCATGTATTTTGTACTGTCTTCCATAATGTTTTAAACCTCAGGTCTGTCATTGATGAACACAAACAAATGAAAATGAGATTAAGCTCCACGTATTCTGTGACGCAAGCGGTCCAATATCTCATAGACCAGTCAACATATCACTCAGGTCAAACATGGATTTTTTGTTCCCGCTCAGCAAAACATTAGAAATGTTAGACTTTTTGTTGTATAGGAACAAATTTTTAAAGGTATAACAAAATAATTTGCATGTAGCTACATGAGGGGTACAATATTCACAGAGCCCAAAAGAAATAGTATTTTTTCTCCATCGTTTGATCTCAACATATGAATGAAATAGGAATTAATCAATCATATCATATTTTTATGGCTTTTGCTCTTAACATGAATCAAAATTCACTTAGCAAAAGATTTATATATGTAATTTAATTTTCAATTTGTTATTTACCTATAATTTCTTTAAATCCAAAGAACCTTAAAAAACATTTACACAAAGAATATACCTGTACATTTATAATACCACCTTTTGATATGGACATCAAAGTTTGATACTAATAGCAGATTTCTTGCACGTAACTATTTTATTTTCACTTGTTATCTCCCCCTGAAGGAGTGAATATATTCCCTTGAATACTATATTTTGTCTTACCTTGTTATCGCCCCCTGATGTAGCCAGTATATTTCCTGTGATTGACCAGCTAAGGTGCCAGATAACGTCGCTAAATTTGTTCAACACTTTCTGTGTCCAGCCATTACCGTCATTAGTCCATAAGATCACCCTCAAGTCCTACAAGACCAAAATAAATACTGAAAAAAAAAGTCAGTAAATGATTCAGGTAGTATAAAATTTACAGGCCTTTACAATGAATCTTAAACATAACCATTCAACTGATGTTAAACTTTTGCATTGTAACAATATCATGTAATTAACCTGGAAAAAACTTACCATGATTTTTGGACAGACCTTTACATACCTTTGAACTACTTGATTTTATGCTTTTGAGTAGATCCATCTGTACTAATGAACAGCTTGCTATGGTACTTCAGAGAAGATGCATTTTATGATCCATACCTGTGAAGATCTTGCTGTGATACTATACACTGTACATACCAGTAAACAGATTGTTATGATACTTTTGAGTAGACCTATACATACCGGTAAACTGCTTGCTATGATACTGTTAGGTAGACCTATACATACCTGTGAATAGCTTGCTATGATACTTTTGAGTAGACATATACATACTTATGAACAGCTTGCTATGATACCTTTGGGTAGACATATACATACCTGTGAACAGCTTGTTACGGTACTTTTGAGTAGACCTATACATACCTATGAACAGCTTGCTATGATACTTTTGAGTAGACCTATACATACCTGTGAATAGCTTGCTATGATACTTTTGGGTAGACCTGTACATACCTGTGAACAGCTTGCTATGATACTTTTGGGTAGACCTATACTGGGAGCCCAGGCGACGTCCCTGACCCAGTCACTGTGACCTTCAAGTTTCTGGTCTTCCTTCCATTGACCGTCCTCCTCCCTACAACACAAGGTTTTAATATTCCTTCATACTAAAACTCACAAGAAACACAACAAGCAGTAATCTATAAATATTTGATTTTCTTCATTTAATAATTTAAAATAAAATTAATGAATATCTTTAAACTTTAGAAAATGACACATGACTGTTAAAACACCCCCTAATCCTTCCCTTGTCATTCAATTACAGTTAATTTTCAAGATTGCCATGGATAACAATTGCAGCTTGGTGCCATAGGTTAATCAATCTTTTCAATTCAATTCAATTCTTTTATTCCTTGTATCAACAGATACATCAGATTAACATATTAATTACATACAATATACATTACTGCCATAATCTTGAAATTTGATCAAAAGAAATATCCTTTGCCATTCTCATATGCCCGTTTCCTATTTACTAGGTCAAATTTTCTCTAACCTAGTGTAGTAACCCTTGGACTACCATGGACTGTCATTCATGCTAAATGATATGTAAGAGCCTTTATTTTGAGATTTTCCAGCTAGAGCAAAGGAAATGTGTATTTAAGTGATTAACAGGAAGGCTTGGCATGTCTTCAGGAAACAACAGGAAAATTAATTTTTCGGATTATTGATTGACACCTAAAAACTGATTGACACCTGTGCAAGTTATTTCCCTGTAAATTTTAACATTCATTTTCGTTCCCATTTTTAACATTCATTTTCGTTCCCATTTTTAATATTCATTTTCGTTCCAATTTTTCAAGAATAAAAATTAAAAAGAAAACCTACTTCCAGATTTTGACCAGGTTATCACATCCTCCTGAGACGAGCTGTTTGATTGGTTGATGACGTCCGGAGGGATCCAATAGATCTCCAGGATTAATGGGCGGGGCCCAGCTTACTGCATTACAGCCAATCTGTCAAATAATTCATCCAAAAAATGTAGACAATCATAAATCAATAAGGCTAACTTAAATGGTTGTAGCTGCTCTCCGTTTAAGGAAATTCAGACAGATAAAGCAGAAAGTGACAGATCCACGTGTTGTAAAAAACCTTCGATTTAAGCAGCCAATTTTTTTGTCACTCACTTCTGATATTATTTCTTATATTTCATGTTTTAAAGTTTTTTTTGTGAATAAGTTTTATTTGAGATAGTTTTCTGCACATTATAGTACTGTGTAATTGTCTTTGTGTAAATGCCAAGCAAAGGATCCAAATTAAATTCAGACACATGCATAAGGTATCTGTGTCATTTTTGAGTTAATCAAAAACAAATAAAAATTATGTTAATCACTTAAGTGTGTACAGACACTTTAATATTTTGTCAAATGGATCTGCTCTACAAAACGTAATGTGATTTGCAAATTTATAAGTCATAACAACCTTCCTGAATAGCCATACAGTAGAAATAAAATGTTTATTCACATTTAGTTTATTTTGCATTAGCTGTAGTGTGAATGCAATTTAATTAACATTTTAATTAATTCTGTTTAACTTCAAATTCATTTACTGTGAATTAAACTCTCTGTGTGAACATTACAGTTTTAACACTTACAGAGTGAGCGTTAGGGATTACAGTATTAACACTTAGAGTGAGCGTTAGGTATTACAGTATTAACACTTACAGAGTGAGCGTTAGGTATTACAGTATTAACACTTACAGAGTGAGCGTTAGGTATAAGAGCATTAACACTTACAGAGTGAGCGTTAGGTATTACAGTATTAACACTTACAGAGTGAGCGTTAGGTATAAGAGCATTAATACTTACAGAGTGAGCGTTAGGTATTACAGTATTAACACTTACAGAGTGAGCATTAGGTATTACAGTATTAACACTTACAGAGTGAGCATTAGGGATAAGAGTATTAACACTTACAGAGTGAGCGTAAGGTATAACAGTATGAACACTTAGAGTGAGCGTTAGGTATTACAGTATTAACACTTACAGAGTGAGCGTTAGGTATTACAGTATTAACACTTAGAGTGAGCGTTAGGTATTACATTATTAACACTTAGAGTGAGCGTTAGGTATTACAGTATTAACACTTACAGAGTGAGCGTTAGGTATTAGAGCATTAACACTTACAGAGTGAGCGTTAGGTATTACAGTATTAACACTTACAGAGTGAGCGTTAGGTATTACAGTATTAACACTTAGAGTGAGCGTTAGGTATTTATTTCATCGTGAAATAAAATTAACACTTAAAAACAGACATAGATTTAAATTGAGCGTTCCCATCCCAATTTTAGTAGGCCTCTAACACAACAGCAGCCGCACGTGCATATTTGGCCTATTACAGTATTAACACGAGATTTTCACAGACTTGGCCTCCATAGCGTTAGACCTGTATTTACATTCCGGCAGAATTATCAGGAAATCAACTCCGCTTACTTTCAAAGGGTTATCATAGAGAAAAAATTTAGAAATGGAAATATTACAGTATTAACACTTACAGAGTGAGCATTAGGTATTACAGTATTAACACTTACAGAGTGAGCGTTAGGTATAACAGTATGAACACTTAGAGTGAGCGTTAGGTATTACAGTATTAACACTTACAGAGTGAGCGTTAGGTATTAGAGCATTAACACTTACAGAGTGAGCGTTAGGTATTACAGTATTAACACTTACAGAGTGAGCGTTAGGTATTACAGTATTAACACTTACAGAGTGAGCGTTAGGTATTACAGTATTAACACTTACAGAGTGAGCGTTAGGTATTACAGTATTAACACTTACAGAGTGAGCATTAATTATTAGAGTATTAACACTTACAGAGTGAGCGTTAGGGATTTTCTTGGCATCCCAGGTTCCATCCCCTATAAATAGAATACATGTATAAATATACATCTATAAATAGTGACAACACATGTTAATATTTTATCTCCTATCATGACACATTATAAATTGTGATGCATGTTTATTGGTAAAACAAGACTAATACTCTAACTTGAATGTATACATGTAAATGAGAAGGTTTATTACTGTAAATTAAAGTCACTAAATATAAATGTGTCATTTCTCAATGTCTAAATGGAATAACTTTGTTTTAAGTGCTTAACTGACATTTTTTCTACAGGGTCTTGTACATTTCAATTCATATTTTTAATTTGAAATCAAAGTACTCAAAAGTACAGAGAGCCGGGCTCATTTACAGAGTAGAATGGATTTCTTACATGAATCACATTTATATTCTGATGAAAAAATTATTTTAAAACTATCAATATAAATGATAAGACACTGACAGTGAGTTTTTCAATCCTAATACCATGGTCCGATTTTGTCAGAATCAGAATTAATCTGGTACCGCAGCTGAATGTAAACAAACAGGCCAGTCTGGTTCCCTCTCCTGCTTTACCTCGTATATGTAGAGAACTAAGGTAACACTGATTATCAAAAATCCTTACGCTAATGAACTATGTTCTTTGACTTATGAAGTTTTCAAAGTCATTACTTCTAATGTTCATTTTATATAGATAAAACTTCGTTTTATTTTTGTTGCTTTATTTAGCGTTTGTATTATCTCAAAAGCGGTTGAGAGTAAGAACTATATTTTTGCCTGTAACTTTAAAATGGCGACTATGGGGTTAACATCCTGCCTTGAACAGGATCACATAAGCCGGCAATTGCTAAAAATGACAAAATCTTTTAAGACTGATTTCTTACATTAAATTCTACTTTTGGGAGGAAAAAGATTTATTTTTCAATTGGGACAGGTTTCCTTTCCAGGAACTGGATGCAAAAATTATTAATAAGCCATATCTTTGTAAATATAGCCATCATTAAGAATACTAGAGTTATCTCTCTTTGAAATGAAAATCCATGTGTCTGACATATTGACTGATCACGTAACAACAGGACTGTTTTAATATACATGTACATGTGCTGTCTATCATATCTATTTTATATTTTTTGATATAAATACATACATCTGTATGATAATATTTGATGCTGACTCTTACCTGTACTAGAAATGATGGAGATGGAGCCATCAGAACTTCCACATGCCAAAAGGAGGCCAAACTCATGGGGGGCAAAGTTCACAGAGTTCACTGTCAAAATAAACAACATATGTTACCTGAAAAGTTGTGATTCTTGCAGTTGTAAATATAAATATACTTGACAATTCGTGAGTCTAACCCGTGATCTAAATATAGACGTTATCTGACAAGTCGTGATTTTGATATTCGTAGAATTTTACCCAAGATGCATTACCTGACGAGTCATGATTTTGATACCGTAAAGTTTACCCATGATGCATTTCCTGACAAGTTGTGATTTTGATATTCGTAGAGTTTTCCCAAAGGTGCATTACCTGACGAGTCGTGATTTTGATATTCATGGAGTTTTCCCCATGATGCATTACCTGACGAGTCGTGATTTTGATATTCATAGAGTTTTCCCCATAATGCATTACCTGACGAGTCGTGATTTTGATATTCATAGAGTTTTCCCCAGGATGCAATACCTGACGAGTCGTGATTTTGATATTCGCAGAAATTTCCCCATGATGCATTACCCGAAGAGTCATAATTTTGATATTTGTAGAGTTTTCCCCCTGATGAATTACCTGGCGAGTCGTGATTTTGATATTCGTAGAAATTTCCCCATGATGCATTACCTGATGAGTCGTGATTTTGATATTCGTAGAGCTTTCCCCATGATCCGTTTGTTTCCTTCCAGATGATAACTTTTCTATCGTAGCTGCAGGACGCGATCAGATTACCAAACATTGGATGAGCCCAGGCGAGCTGCCACACTGGGCCGTCATGACTACAGAACACAAAGTTATGGCCATAATAAAAATATTCCTAGATTCTCATCCCCAAACACAACATCAAATATTAGCAAAATATACTTATGTGTTCATAAAGCACAGATCAGAAAAATATTCTCCGATGAATCTACCACTTTTCTGTTTAATTACAATTTAACTTAATCAGAGCAAAGGGGTACAATATTAGAATATTTAAAATTACTCTCTTCAACACTTTAACCTAAAACTAAAAAAAAAAACAAATAAAGATAAGGCTATTCTTTAAATCTGACCCATCCAAAAATGAGAGTCTTTGACCTATGTTTGTCACATATGTGTATCGACACACTTATTTTTTCTCTTACAAAGTTAAATCAGTTGGTTTCTCTAACTCACCCGCGGAGTTCAGTAATCAGGGTCTGCTGGCCTCCTTTGACATCAAATATCTTGATTGATCTGTCTGAGGAACATGTGGCCAGCTTTGTTCCATAGTAATCCAACTGAGCATCATGCTGAGTCATACAATAAAAAAATAATCATTTAATATACATGTACACATTTTCTGTAGAATGGCAAAGAGATACAAAATAAATCCAATAACTCATGATAATACATTTAAACTTTATGAGAAATTTAAGACAAAACACATCGATTAAAAAAGATTTTTCTAAATGTAATAGCAAGCTCAGAGAGTGAAGCACTAATAGCACAAGAGTTCTTACACAAATGTCTTCCAAAGAAAAAAAATTGGTTTTCTGAATTCATTACTTTTTCTCTGCAATTAACTTCAGTACAAACAATGCACCTCTAACACAATGTTTTCAATATAACTGCAGTTATGCTCAAAATCTTTTGATAAGCAATTAAAAAGAATGTAATAATTCCTAACCTCTTCCAACATTGTTCGATAGATCTTAAGCATGATAAATGCCTTACTGGGTCTTGAGAGAATCTTGGCAAAATCAGTTATACAGTACAATAGCTCCTCTTTCATACTACTGACCCAATTTTGCTAAGATTGTCTCAAGACAAGTAAATGAGATATTCGGCAATTAAATATACATGAATTTCTTGCCCCAACAGTCATACCATCAACGTGACCAAGTTCTATTTGAATTTATCAGGTTGGGCACAGTCTACCAAATGGTCCTTTATCCCCCGTTTGGTAGACAATCTACCATATCGAAGACGAATTTTACTAACCAAATGGGGAACTTTTTTATTCTATTGCAATTTTTATTAAAATAAAACAAAAGTGCATTTATTTAGGCATTGGGGGATTTTAGTGAACATATTCCTCGCAAAATTAACATAAATCAGTCAAATTTCTATGTGCAATTTCTCCATAACTAACTTCATAAAAACAATACCCATAGTTGTCTGTAACAGTCGAAGTTCTTGATCAATCAATCAAAAAAAATCTTTGTTGAGTCTTGTTGGATAAAAATTCAATTTTATCTAGTGATTTAACTCTTGATGAGTTAACTTTGAATCTCTTTTTGGATCTTCGTCAATGTCCATAAAATCCTGTTAAACACGAGCTCCTCATGCCTTACCGGTATGGTGGGCACTTCCTGCTATAAAGTTAAATTTTTCCAGAGTTGAACGTAATATTTGTTGTCATTTTTCTTCTAGGATGAAGTTGCAGATTCCATGCGACCTTTTGGGGTTTAATATGCATATTACTGGTGAATTTAATAAATTTGAAAAATAATATTCAATAAAAGATGTACAAAATGACTTTTGCCATTATTCTTGTTTTTGTTCCAAGTACATCATTTTAAAACAATAATTATATCATACTCCAACTGCATTTACTATTTTTGTGAAGAACAAAGTCATTGTGTTCAAAATAAAAAGAAATAAAGGCAAAAACTTATTTTTCTTCTGATTTCCTAATTGAAAATTATCACAAATGTGCCTCCGTAGTTAAATCCGACTTTTCATCATCTTAAAAAAGATCATCGTTTTGATTGGTTTGCACTAATTGATTGGTTGCCCAGATAATCGAAATAGAAAGTAAAGGACATGCAGAGTTCTTGAAATCTTTTTTCCACTGTCAGTCATTTGGACTGACTGCCGCAGGAAGTTTGTCGGTCCAGACAGATTTTTATCAGTCCAACAAAATAATTAAACATAATTTTAAGAAGATTAAAACTATATTTGAATTTTATTATCATTACATTTCGCACCCTCCGTCATATACACCAGGGGTTCAAAAATCCTCAAGCCCGACGTCCCGGACTAACAAATTCCGGATCCGGACTCGGCATTTAGAATTCGCCAAAGTCCTGGGACTTGGCTATGTTTCTTGTTTAACTTTTTTTATAAATTAAAAAAATGATCGTAAAGCTAAAAATAAAGCAAATTCTCAAATGTATTAAGTAAAAATGTGGGTTTGTGGGCGTTAAAATACCCATAAAACATTACGAACGTTTCGAAAATACAATCCGTCTTTTTATTTTCCGTTGCGGTTAGACTCTTGCTTTTACGCAATTCCTCATGTTTCCTCCTACATGAAAAACGGCAATGAGTTTGTTAAATTTCGGTTTTAGCTGTGACTTACAGCACATTCTAATTTCTATTTATTGTAACAGATGGTTTATTCAGTAGTGAGTATTTGTAAAAGTTAATGTAATCTACCAGTAATCTATCAGTCTGGTATTGTGTTGAAATACTCATGTATGACTGTATGACAGTTTATTGAGGAAAAATAAAACATATATTAATACACATAGTCTTTATTCATTCAATGCAACAAATGAAAGTAAATTATAAGTTACATAAATTTAATGATGTATAGGTAAATATGGACTCTGAAATTTCTTCCTCGGACTTGCCTAAAATTTACTCTTCAAGTCCTGGACTTGACCATGACAAAAAAAATTTTGAACCCCTGATACACACTGCATAATTCATGCGAATTTGATCATTGTACAACAAATTTCGTTGAATTCTCGTGGGAGGTCAATTTTTTTCATAAGTTTTTAATCTAGTTCTATTTTTCTCACCTGGCTAATACCTTATCGCCGTCAAAAACTTGTTAAAACAATTAATCAATCATAGTTTGGTACACTGTACTTGCGACAGTTTGATTTGATTTGAACATATTTTATTATGTAGAATACATAAATGGATTGGGCAGCAGGCGTAGCCTATATAAGCCCTCTCCATAGGTACAAGGTTAATTAATACACATATAGTAGCAGGTTTATATATGACCAATAAGTTATATATAACTAACACAAATTTGAATGGATTATAGGGGGAAAAATACATGAGTGAAGAGAGAAAAAGAAAAAAAACAACAACAATGAATACCGGTTTATAAATGTGGAAATGAAATGAAAAAAAAATCGAAAAAAATGAAAACTACAGCAATTTATAAACTTGCGACAGTTGCGTTCATCGAAGAAACCATTACGAGATACTGAAAAGTGTTTAACAGATTATGATCAGTCGGTTATAGGGAATTCTTACGAAATTTAGTCGGATTTTCGCAAGTTGCTTTCTCAACATCTACCGGTCATTTGGACTGACACAGAACGTAAAGTGATCGGTCCGTGGTTGTTTTTATCGGTCTTGCCGACAGGACCGAAAGATTTCAAGAACTCTGACATGATTGACAGGTGCAGCAGTGTTGGAGAAAGACAGAATTTTCTTTTAAAGTAAAATACGGAGAAACATTGCACTTGTTTACACAAGCTACGTTTTTGTCAAATTTTTGAACGACTCGGCGCAAAAAATTGCACATAGAATTTCTGATTTTTTTCACCCAGAACACCAATAAATATCTATATTTTATTCCACATGGTTTTAAATTACAATTCCACTCTACTCCATGGAAGTAAACACAACCAATTCTGTCCCCCAAATGGTCAGTAAAATTCGTCACCGATATGGTAGATTCTCTACCAAACAGAGAAAAAGTACCATTTGGTAGGCTGTGCCCAACCTGTTTATTGTAAATATTTTATATAATTTCCGAGAAGAGAAGTTAATTTCAAGTGAAATACTACCTGGGTTTCCAATAACATTACTTACGATCATGTCTTCGTGTGAGGTGTCTATCGAGTTGATGACGGAAACCTGAAATACAAAACGAGAAATATTAAGCCTGACTGGTACTCGTATAGATCCTGAGATAATATAAGTATATTCTACTGGAAAATAGTTAATCTACTTAGAACTTCAATTAAAAACAAACAAAAAAACAAAAAAAACAAATAGAAAACAATCATTCAACTAATGCGATACACTACATCATTATAAGGGAGAAAACTTTAAAAATATCTAAAGAATCTTCCAGTTTATGAGAATGAAAGTTTCTTTACCATCTTCAACACACTATAGTTGCCCTAAGTATGCTTAAAAGTTTTAAATATGGGTTGTTTATATCACAACTTTGCCGGTAAATCGTGTAAAAACGGACGTGGCAGATACTTCCGGAGAAAGTCAACATCAACTCGTACGATGAATTAGTCTATTAAAGGGTCCGACTGTGGTTTACATTGCGCAATATTTCGCGCATCATAGTAAAATGACTTAAAGTAAAATAGTCAAACTTAACATGTACACGGAAGTTGATGTAAATTATATATGGTTTAAAAATGAAGAGTTTCGCTATTGTAGTTTTCATACAATAAAACCCTGGGCAGTCGGCCCCCTTAAATAAAAAAAAAAAGACAAGAAACTGTGCTCCCGGCGGCAAAAGTTCGAAAGAGCTTTTTTTAGCATATAGGTAACAGTCAAGGCAACAAGGTAATTCAACTTGAACTAATTAGTGGAATATGCATACCAAACACTCTCTATCTCTCATGATTCAAAAGTTATGGTGAAAGTTCGAAAAAGTTTTTTTAGCATACACATGATACAGGTCACAGTCAATGTCACAATGTCTTTCACCTTGGTGTCGTTTGAAAGAGCTTATTAGTGGACAGGGCAAACAGACAGGACTGGGGCAGTTTATACCGTATAAAATGGGTAGCTATTAAATTCATTCCTTAATTATAACTACTTTTACATCGTTATTACTCCTTAAGTATCAAATGGTATCACACATGTCACACTCCATGCATGTCCATGAATACCTCAGAGTAAATCCACCCTGCTAGTTAACACATCCACTGAGTGCGGATCTGCAGTGCTTGCAACACCCCTAACAGCAGTAAGATCTACAATTCTATCTCAGTGGATGAGAACATAATTATACAACAGCCTCTCAGCCCCTAACTCTGACATACCGTACAGTCCGTGCTCTCCCATCGGGAGTCTGTGTGCTACATCATCTATAGTCCGAGATCATTCACCTCCCAAACAACAGAAAGGAAAGTTCCTCGGAGTGGTATCACTAAATTTCCAATTAAAGCATAAACAAAAAAGTATCACTAAACTTCCAAAGCATAGAAAACAAAGTACATTGTATCACTAAACTTCCAAAGCATAAAAAAACAAAGTTCACAAGACTGAGGTACTCAATGATAGCCCGGAACCTGACAGGCTGTCTTGGCTGTATGGCATCTTCTCAGCAAAACTTATACATACAACATACAATATTTTCCGAAGGGATAGGACTGACTCACGTTGTGGAATCATCATTGCTGTCAAGAATGACTTGGTGTGTTCGCCAGTTTACACCAGTAAAGACAAGGAGATCCTCTGTGTTAGACTTCAGGTAAACGAGAAAAAGTCAATCATTACAGGAGGCTACTACCGCCCACCCAACGTCACTTGCGAAAATAATGCATGCCTGGCTGTATCAGAAATGAGCAAGGGTCTCGGAAAATCCTAAGTGTGACTTTTGGATGGCGGGTGATTTAATCTTCCCGAAATTAACTGGTCTACCCAATCAATTATCTTCCAAAATGTCGATACAGTTTTGGGCATTTCTGGTGATTATGGAGTGGTGCAGCTTGTATACGCACCAACACTGGGAGATAAAATCCTAGATTTGTTCTTTACCAGCAAACTCATCGCTTGTGCAACGATGTAAAGTCATCCCAGGGGTAGGCAATCAAGACGCGGTCTTAATTCACTCCTTAATCCAACCGATAAGATTGATTGATTGATTAATGTTTTACACCGAATCGGCAATATTTCAGCAATATATCGGCGATAGAAAGAAAATCATGTGACCAGTTTTTAAAGTTTTGGGTTTCTCTGACGGCCCCCAATGATCGAGCCTACTCTTTTTCGAAAATCAGGGAAACGATCTTTTGCGCGCCAAGGGGGTTGTAATCCTTGACACGGGGCACCATTTAACGTCCCATCCGACGGACCTCAAAATTAAAAATGAAAAGCTGTACAATTAAAATGATCAAAAACGATTTCCATTAAAATATACGAATTTAGATCTTACAGTAAAAATCAGTTTCTTGCAAATACTTTAATATTGTAGAAGGATTAATATTTTGAAAAAGGTCATGCATTGTATGTATGTTATAAAAGAGTCTACTACGCTATATGGGCGAAAAATCAGAACATTCTAATAGTATGTGTTTTACATAGTCACAAGAGATGCATTCGGGTTGTTGTTCCTTGTTGAGTAAATATGAAAGAGTAAACCTTGAATGTCCAATACGAATTCTTGAAATAATAACTTTATCCTGACGTTTCAGACCAAAATTAGATGAATGACTAACCTTGTTCTGTATTGCATAAAGTTTATTATTATCGCAAAAATTCCAATATATTTGCCATAAAGAATTTACATAATTTTTTATTAAATATTTCAAATCGGTATAAGGAATTTCAAAGTGTACAATTTCAAACTGAAGTGCTTTTTTGCAGCACTAACAACCTTAGTGTTACCAGAAATACCAATATGACTTGGAATCCAACACAATTCAACAATCTTACCTTGATTTAAGAAGTAAGCCGAACTGTCGAGAAATATACGCATGGTATAAGGCATATATGACATATCTGCGAAGAGACATCAACAACTTTGTAGAAGACTTCCTCACCAGACCTTTCTCTTCTGTTGATACTCACTCAATGGGAACTCTTTAGAGACATCATACATCATGAACCGACATGTTCCTTACAAGTTCACACGATCCAGTACATCAACCCTTGGATGAATACAAGTACATGTAGCAAGCGTTTAGCACGCAGGAAACTACCAAACCAAGCTAACAAAGAAGCAGCATGATCAGCAAAGGTACCTGTATCTTACGTCAAAGTACCAGAGAACCATTCGGTCCTGCTTACCAACAAAATGTGAATGAAATTATCAACCCAGCGCCTCAGAAAATCCCAAGAAGCTCTGCATGGTCATTTATTTAAAGCAAAAAACAAGAGGCCTTGGTGTAGCACCGTTACGGAATAATGATGGACTTCGTAAAAATCCTTACAAACAAAGGTACATTGCGGGTTCCGGTAAAATGTTCAACCAAGTCTCTTTCGTTACTGCCCACTAAGATATTGACAGTAGTGAAAGAAAAACTCCAAGAGCACTTTGCAACAATATATTCAAGAAGGATATGAAGATAACGAACAGTAGTCAATCTCAAAGTTCATGAAACAATACAAAATAGGAGCAGAGTAAACACGGACCTCCGAAACATCAGAGGTGGGATCAGGAGCCATAGAGGAGTGAGCATCCCCTGCTGACCGGTCACACCCGCCGTGTGCTCCTTGTCATGATCAGGAAATAACGGAAAAATCTGTCGTCAATTCAGTGTATAAATAATGGACTAACAATTAGTATGAAAAACGTAAGTCAGCATTTGACTCAATGATAAACTTAATTTCTGACAAGGTCATTGTATCGAACATAGAACTTACAAAATGATGACTTTAAACGAGATTGCTGATATTCTTGTTTCCTCAACTTGCTTGTCAATAATTTATCTCGTTTTAGAAATTGTTCATACATGAAGCATGCTTTTGCATATCGAATCAACTGAGATACCGGTATATATACTCCGTATGCAGGTGATGAAGGTAGTGGTGTGAATCAGATGTAAATACTCAAAATTTCCAAAGAACTTTTGGACAATTTGAAATCACAAGATTTTACCAAAATAAAAAAATTGCTTTTCATCTATACACACCACAATTCCCCTCGATAAATTAAAGTCCAGGCTCTTTTTTAGCATTGACAGCTGCTTTTTCAATAAAAAAGGAACTTGTAAATTTACTTACCTGATCTTTGGTCATTTGCAAAATTATTTTGTTAAAACATATTCTGATTGCACGCACCTCAAGTTCTCTGAGGTCGATATCAAAAAGATGCTTGAATTTCTGATTGACAATATCTATGTGATTTTTGGAGACCAGGTCTTCCAACAATCTATTGGAATTCCCATGGATATTAATTGCGCTCCGTTATTAGCAGACCTATTTTTGTATTCATTTGAAGCAGAATTTGTGCAAAATCTTATGCGTTAGAAGAAGAAAACACTTGCTGTGGCCTTCAACTCGACATTTAGATATATCGACGACGTATTGTCAATTAAAAATGGTAATTTCCATTGCTACGTCGATACGATATATCCTGGCGAGCTTGAGATAAAAGATACCACAGAATCTGACACTTCTGTTTCATACTTGGATATTTTACTTGAAAAAGACGCTAATGGTAATATAACAACCAAGCTATATGATAAACGTGATGACTTTAACTTCTCTTTCGTCAACTACCCTTAATTATGCAGCAATATACCTTCATCACCTGCATACGGAGTATATACAGCAAATGGTTATCATTGAGTCAAATGCTGACTGAAATTTTTTATACCAATTGCTAGTCCATTTTTTATACATTGAATTGACGACGGATTTTCCCGTTATTTCCTGATCATGACAAGGAGCACACGACGGGTGTGACCAGTCGGCAGGGGATGCTCACTCCTCCATGGCACCTGATCCCACCTCTGATGTTTTGAGGGTCCGTGTTTGCTCTGCTCTTATTTTGTATTGTTTTATAAACTTTGAGATTGAATACTGTTCGTTATCTCCATATCCCACTCATTGTATTTGTTGACAAGGTCATTGTATCGACCATAGAACTTACGAAATGATGACTTTAAACGAGACTGCTGATATTATTGTTTCATAAACTTGCTTGTCAATAATTTACCTCGTTTTAGAAATTGTTCATACGTAGAGCATGCTCTTGCGTATCGAATCAACTGAGATATACACACTCCGTATGCAAGAGGAATTGAAATTACCATTGTTAATTGACAATACGTCGTCGATATATCTAAATGTCGAGTTGAAGGCCACAGAAAGTGTTTTCTTCTTTTCACGCATAAGATTTTGGATTATCAAGTCAAATGCTGACTGATGTTGTTTATACTTACTGTTATTCTATTGTTGATACATTGTGTTGACGACGGGTTTTTCCGTTGTTTCCCGATCATGACAAAGAGTGTGACCGGTCAGAAGGTTGCTCACTCCGCCATGGCACCTGGTCCCACCTCTGATGTTTCGGAGGTCCGTGTTTGCTCTGCTCCTATTTTGTAT